ACCTTCACGTACATCGGCTTCTTCTGGAGCATTGCGGGACGTTTCGTCGCGCTTCCGGAGCCCAAGCGCCTCAAGTTTCTTGACAGAGCACAGGTTTTCGTAGCGGCGTTCGCCTCCAGCAGGTGCCAAATGCTGGACGTGATGAAAATCCACGGCTCTCTCTGTCACATAACCTTTGTGCATCCCCTCGGTCGCTCTTTCCTCCCCCCGCTGTCGAACTTTGTTGCCTCCTTCAAGGGCAACACTTTCTCTTTCCGCTACCCGCCACCCTCCGTCATCACCGCCCTGCGCTGGTGGATCCAGACGCTCTCTATCCCCAAAGTCTCCCGCCCATTACTCGCCCGCGGCCCTCTGTCCGACCTGTCCCTCTTCGTCGACGCCTCAACCTCATGGGGAATAGGCATACTCCTGGGCAAAAGGTGGGACGCGTGGCGGGGCATGGGAGCCTGGATCGCGCCCTCCCGGCACATCGGCTGGCTCGAGGGCGTCGCCCTAGAGCTATTGATATACGCAATAGAGGAGCAGGGCCTCCACGATGTCAACCTGCTCGTACATTCAGATAACCAGGGAGTTATTGGCGCTTTTGATAAAGGGCGCAGCCGCAACCACGAGATTAATCTCTCCATCCGCAGATCTGCCTCGGTGCTGGCCGCTAGAAACATTTCCTTGACTCTACGTTACATCGAATCGGCGGCGAACCCCGCGGACCCTATCTCCCGCGGCCACTTGGGCTCGTCGGCGTACCGCTTAGTACACTCTATCTTTAACCTTCCCGATGACCTAGCAGCGTACTTTCGTCACGTTTGAACTCGTTTACATACTTAACCTACGAGCCGGAATAACACGAGCTTCTTAACCAGCAAAGATATGCTCGAATAAGTGCGCGAGCAAAGACACGTTCGAATAAGCGCGCGCCACCGATATCACGTGCACAATTTCCTACCTTTCCCTTTCCACCGCCTCGTGAGGCCCATGCACAAGTTCACGCACTGGGACTCACCAGCACCACCCGGGCCCGTTCCCGCACAAGACCCGTCGCGCTCCGCCGACTCCTCGCGCCCTACGCAGCCAACACGGTCCGCTCCACCCGCCCCACCAACCGCCACGACGCAACAACTGTCCCTCCCCAAACCTTTCCTGCGGCCCCCAGACGTACTACCTGCACCCCTGCGCACATCGTACGCGCCTCCTCTCACCCCTGCCGCCCCTTTGCCGGCCGTACCTCAACCCCACGTCGTAAAGAAGCCTCGCAAGCCTCGCGCGGGTTGCGAGATCGCCAATAACGAGCTTCGGCCTCATGTAGCAGCACTCGACCGTCTTCGCACGTGGACCTCACCTTTTGGTATCGAGCATGACACCGACTTCAGGAAGCAGCTCCCGGCGGATGTCGTTAACAAAACCTACGCGGCCCTCTTCGCGTCCTTCGCCCCCGAAACCCACTCCAATTATGCAGCCGGTCTACTTCGTTTCCATCAATTCTGTGACCTTCATGAAATCTCCGAACGCGCCCGCATGCCCGCATCCCACACCCTCCTCGCGGCTTTCATTTCACAACACGTCGGAAGTGTCGGCGGCGGCACCGTCAAATCTTGGATGTCGGGCATCAAGGCTTGGCACGACATCAACGGCGTGCCTTGGGAAGGCGAAGATCGCTGGGTCGAGCTCGCGAGGCGCACCGCCAACAAGCAAGGCAGCACTTTCAAACGTGCCCAGCGCGGCCCAGTCACCATCCAGCACATGATAGCACTGCGAGCCTCCCTCAACCTCACTCTCCCCTTCGACGCTGCGGTCTGGGCCCTCGCCACGGCCGCCTTCTGGGGCTGCCGTCGACTCGGGGAACTCACAGTCCCTTCCTTCGAAAAATTCGACCCGAAATTCCATGCTATCAAGAGCGCGACCGCCAGACACATTACCCCGACCCCAGATACATCTGCTACGACCATTCCCCTGCCGTGGACCAAGTCAACGCGCGAGCGCGGCACCATCCTTACCCTCACTGGCAGACAGGACGAACTCTGCCCCGAGAAGGCCTTCACCAACCACAGGCGCATCAACGCCGCGATCCCCGATACTGCCCCACTCTTCGCTTTCGCCGCCGGCTCAGATCGTTGGTCCCCCATGACGAAGGACTGGTTCATGCAGTGCTGCAAGTCCATCTGGTCGGACGCGAACCTACTCCTCGTCTCGGGCCACAGCTTCCGTATCGGCGGCTCCACGGAGCTCCTGCTCGCGGGCGTCCCGTGCGACATCGTCGCCGCGCTGGGGGGCTGGACCTCCCTTGCCTTCCTACTCTACTGGAGGAAAATCGAGCATATTGTTCCCATGAACATCGGCAAAGCTTACGACAAGGACAAACTTACCGAAGTAGCCAAGGCCTTCGAGTCGTTCCGTATCACACATAACTTAGTCTTACCCTCCGCAGATGATTTCGATTAAAATACCATACCCCTTTTCCACTTTTCTTCCTACGCGCCCTCACTCCAGCTTCATTTGGGGAAGCCGAATCGCGCCCCACCGCAATCCGCCTGTAGTGAGCTCTCGCTCTGGGTGGTATAGTCGGCTTGCGGCTCCGCCGCTCCTTCTCGTCTTCCCCGAGCTGACCCACGCGCTCAGAATCTCCCCTTCCGCTCAGAGTTGGCTTTCCCCGCGTCGCGCCGCGCCCGTCGTTGCCCGCGATCTTTTTCGCCCGGGCCCCTCCGCGCGCACGCTCATCCTCTCGCCAGCCCCGCAGCCCGCGCAGCGGGCCGAGCGGAAGAACCGGAGGTTCTTCCCCACACCCAACATTTATTGCGTGCGCTTCTCTGAAGCAGCAGATAAATTTTGGCTCTTACCATACTCGCGTACAAGTCAAGACTTTCGCTTATTCCAGAGCCACCACAAGCATCCAGCGCATTGAGCGCAATTCCAGCCTCATCTCCATGACAGCGCATAGCGATTATTGCGCTTCCTCCACCACACTTTCTGCCTCTGAACTCCGTTCACGCCTCGTCGACATCGAGGAGAAAATGGCCGAGCTAGAGTCAGAACTGGCCCGTCTACGCGTCAAGCGAGACGGGGTTTTGGGGAGCTTGGATTCGATCGTCTATCCCATCCTCACGCTACCTCCCGAAATCACCTCCGAAATATTCATCCACTCCGTCGTACCCCCCGACTTCCTCCCCGACGACGCCGACTCCGAGTCCGATGACTCATCTGAGCCTGACTCTGAAGTTGTCGCTGTAAACACATCCCCCATTCCACTGCGGTTGGCAAGCATGTGTCGGGCGTGGCGGGCCATAGCGCTCTCAACCTGCGCGCTTTGGGCCGATTTTAATCCCGAGACCTTTCATTCCGGACGCCCAAACGCCAGGAACCTGCCTGACCTTTTAAAGTGCTGGCTTCCCCGTGCGAGAAGCCTTCCTTTAGATCTGAGCATTGATGTGCCTCGGGAGTCACAGGATTCGATCCTCTTGATCCTTGCTCAATACTCCTCACAATGGAGGAGGATCGATCTGTACACAGACGAACCAATTTCGTTCCCTAGCAACAGCCTTCGGTCACCCTTCCTGTCGCTCAAAAAAATCACACTCAACGGCGAGGAGTGGCGGGAGGATGGTGGTTGCACCACTGCATTCCTGGATGCGCCGCAGCTTCGGGAGGCAGAGCTCCATCACCTATCACTCGCGCAAATATCACTTCCCTGGATCCAGCTCTCACACCTCGAGCTCTACAGCCAATCTGCTCTTCAGTGCGTAGACATCCTAGAACATGCCTCAAACCTGGAGAGCCTCTCCTTGGACTTGGGATCATTGCCCGGACAAGAAACCTCTCCTGCCTCCCCTTTTACTATGCCCCGCCTCCGTACTATTAAATTCGTGTCTGTTATGCCGTTATACCTCCTTGACCGCCTGATCCTCCCTGCTCTCGAGACCCTGGAGCTATGGCATCTCTCCTGGTTGGGCAGCGAGGTAGCACATCTCGTCGCACGATCCGGATGCTCCGTGCGAACGCTCCACCTCTTCCAGATGACATATTACGTGACGAAAGAGTGCATGCGGATTTTTGATTCCGTGACAGAATTCACCATGGGATTGCTGTCCTGGTCTTCCGATGACTCTACCCATTTTTTCAACTTGCTCGCCTACAACCGATCCACCCTGCCCGCGCTCGAAGCATTGAATATTGATCGGTGCTATGGAGACATCGACATCTACCCCCTTGCTACGATGCTCTCGGCCAGACGGAACGGTGTGGATGGGGTAGCGAAGCTGTCCTCCTTCCGGCTCTCATTCGACCCTGATCGTTACGACAAGTTTATCCAGCAAGCTTTGGTCAAAATCCTCGATTTGCGTGTTCAAGGACTCAAGATGGACATCCACGGACTGCGGAAATGGTCCACACGAAACATCAATTCGCAAATGGTACAGTTATCCCACCTTATGTCCAATTCGGCTAGCTAACTTCTCTATGAGATGGAGGAGCTTGACAACATCGACGGCGAGACCTAGTAGCTCGAGTATGTAATTGTGTGTCCCATATCTGGTGAGTCCCTGTTACCGAACAAACGTCCACGCTAACGATCGACTAGTCATGCGGGATAAACTTACTACACTTGCATTATATTCCGCGGCCAATCCCATCGACCCCCTATCCAATCGAGGGTGAATTGATACTGATTCTTTTGTTCTTGCATGTCGAGCAACCTGAAGGCAATTGTCCGTCTCTAGTTGCTGGGGAAGCGCACTCAGATCTGTCCTCGCGTCGCTCCAAAGCAGCCCACGATCATGAATATTTCTCTTTCCTCACACGTACTCACTCCGAATGTGCCGCTCGCGTCTTGGGCATTTTGTTTTTCGATTGTTGAATATTATTGTTTGGTTATACATTCTACACCGCCTGTTTCATCTAGTCGCCTGACTGAGCTATGATCGGCCTTCCTATCTACCCGGTAGTAGCTTAGCGGAATCCTTCCTTGGTGGAATTTTCGTACTCGTTTATGAGGGCCCTTCAAGGTTTATCACGACCCAGTGGCGGAAGGTCCGCATCTGCCTTGCATATTGTATCCAGTTTGGTCGTTGAACGTTGAACAGCAGAAGGCGCCCGTTCGACTCGGGCCTGGGTCGCTATCATGTGTGCAGCTTCGTATTTTTCTCTCGCCTTTGTGCTTCCCATTCGAGTTTATTTTCGGATGTACGCAGGGCCAACATAAGGCGAGTACAGACCCGGTGGCGGACGGTCCGCATCTGCCTTCACTGACTGACATCGTCAAAGACTTGACAGCAGAAGGCGCCCGTTCGACTCGGGCCTGGGTCATACTGTCGTGTACTCGGATTTTTTTATCTACCCCAGCTAGATCTCTGTGTGCTTGATTCGGTAAAAGTCGTTAGTTCCGGGATGATTTTGAATGTGCAACGGTGCCCATACAATCATCCGACTTCATGGAAGAGTTGGTGCTAATTTCTTTTTTAGCCTTGGATTTCCCTTCCCGTTCGAATTTCTTCCCTGCCTGATTGAAGGCTACTACCGACCCAGTGGCGGATGGTCCGCGTCTGTCTCCATTGTATGTAACCTCGAATCGCTAACAGCAGAAGGCGCCCGTTCGACTCGGGCCTGGGTCATACGGTGATGCTGTTACGTTTTTTCCGCCTCGCGCGCAAACTTTGAATTTCCTCCCTCAATCATACAGGAGCACAGCCAGGGTAGTACAGACCCAGTGGCGGACGGACCGCATCAGCTCTCCTTGGGACTGGAAGCATGAAATTTGCTATGCAGAAGGTTCCCGTTCGACTCGGGCCTGGGTCATATCGTTGTGCATTCGGATTTTTTTCTACGCTCAACTAGATCTCTGTGTGTCATTCGGTACAAGTCACTGAAATAAGCGCTTACTTTCAACCGTGCCCGGGCCTGGGTCCTGGAAGGAAGGATTATGCTGAGTTCTTTGTTTACCTTGGATTTCCCTTCCCGTGCGAATTTCCTCTCTCGTATATTCAGGCTAATTGAAGGCTAATATGGACCCAGTGGCGGACGGTCCGCGTCTGCCTTCGTTAAATGTACCCATATTGTGGTTCAACAGCAGAAGGCGCCCGTTCGACTCGGGCCTGGGTCAGTGGCTTCGCATTTTTATCTCTTACTGTCAGCTCATTTCCTCAGCGAAATTTTGGGACCTTGCATTCAAAGGTTGTGGCGAGGCTTATGCAGACATGGGCCGCATCTGCCCTTCATTGGCATTGAAGCTTGAGACATAAGGTTCCCAGCAGAAGGCGCCCGCTCGACTCGGGCCCGGGTCATCCTTCCGCAGCTCGCTTTTTTTGTCCCACGCCCAAAGAAAATCTAACTCCATGCATGCTGTCTCCATCCCCCATCCTCCTTCCAAACTTCCGAATGCTGCAATGGCAACCACAACCGCTTCCTCAACGACCCGCCCCGGAAACGGCAACCACGGACCAAAAACCAAACAAGGCCAACTTGATGCCTGCTCCCTCCGCCCACATCAAGCCAATCAAGCCCACATGGTCCTCTGACGATCTGCGCATAATACTCGTGCTGAATTCGCTTGGAATTCGCTACAAGTTGCTTGGTCTTTACATACAAGTTGATTTGGCCGCCTCATACGACGCCCTTTCGCTTAGACCGCCACTAAGGGACGCTTTGACCGCGCGAAGGAACGAACTCGCTTTGACCGGCACGAAAGAAAGGAACATGCTGAACACGGGCGGCACCGCCCTCGAAAAGCGCATAAGCGCGCTCGAAAGCGAGCTGCAGGTCGCCGCGGCGGCGCGGGCGTTGAACGGCGAGGTGGAGGCGGCGCTCGCGGAGGCGAAGCTCGAGGGGGAGCGGGTGAGGATGGACCCTCGGAGCGCGGCGGGGATGGTGGAGCGGTATATGTGCGTGTCCTTTTGTTTTCACCCTCTTCCCCTTTTCCTTTTCACTGCTTCCATTTGTTTTTCTTCCACTGCTCGTGTCTGCGGCGGGATGCCTCTCGGACCTACCCCCAACCACTTGTCGCTTTCCCTTCTCCTCTCCGCCGCACTTCTTCTTCCCTCCGCCCACGCCCTCCTTCCGCTCGGGTCATCTCCCGCCCCCAGCCTTTCATCTGCAGGCGCGTCTTGCCTCCGTAGGCCTCGCACGCGCAGCCGTCCACCTCGCGGGGTGCGGGGGTCCTCCGCGCCGCTTGTGTGCCCCGCGGCCTCTGCGGTGTGGGTGGAGTTTGTGGGTGGGCTGTGTCCTACACCGCCGCGACGGATGGGCGGCGAATTCGCCGCGTACGCTCCTTCGTTGTCTGGGCTGTGGCACGCTGATGTCCGGAGAGACACACTGCATCGAGCACGGGCAGCGGGCGGTCGTGGGGTGCTGTGGGACGCAGTGTGTAGGCGCGTGTTTCTTTGCTTTTGCTTTCTGGGCGGCGGTGCGCTTCGTTGTCTGCGCTGTGGTACACTGTGTCTGAGTCGAGCTCGGCGCTGGAAGAGGACGAGGCAAGGAGTCTGCCATCAAATGTTTAATCCTCCGTTGTGATTGAAAATTTTGTGCGAGTTGGTGACAGCCGTAGGCTATACATCTGCGCGGTACGCGTCCGTCAAGTCTCCTCCTCCCATCTGCCTGCTCACCCTGGAGCTTCGACGCCGACATCCATGTCCAAGCGGAGAGTCGCATACTACTATGACCGTGCGTACCAGCCTCCCACACACAGTGCCTCACTCAGAAGTCTACAGCCGACGTGGGTGGATACACATACGGCCTCGGACATCCCATGAAGCCACACCGCGTGCGCGTCACACACGACCTCGTCAGCGCGTACGGGATGCTGCTAAAGATGCACGTCCTGGTGAATATATTTTTCCGGGTTTTTTGGCGAGATTCTGACCGAAACGCGCGACCCCGGAGAGCATGACAGCGTTCCACACCGACGAATACATCAGGTGACGCCCGAGATGCAGGAGGAGCTGACGCACGGGGGATGCTATGTGTCTCCACACGCCTTTCTGCTGCCACCCTGACCAAAAGAGAGCCAGTCCTGGTCGGCTTGCTGCCTGATATCCCCGCGTTTGAGGGGGTCTTCGAGTTCTGCTCTATTTCGGCCGGGGGGTCTACCGCAGCCGCGCAGTGGATTTCCAGCGGGGCGACGGACATTGCAATCAACTCTCTAAAAAACAGAACACGTGCCATCATGTGCCATGCAAACAACGGTCCACTCGGAACCACACAGTCCTCTTCTTCCTCTGCCACTATGTCCCACATGCCTCAGCCTCCCCAAGAGATTGCACGAGTGCTCCAGCTCTCTCATCTTCATCCCTCAGACCTCTATGCCCGAGCCACCGCAGCGTGCCCTGGCCCCTGGTGTTTGAACGGCATCGGCGGCGACTCCCAAGTGGGCCTGGGTGGCACAATTTGCCGCACAAGTTGGGTGGTTATTCCATGATATACCTCTGACGTGTCGCGGTGACACCTGGCGTGGCTGCCCCGTATAATTAGTGGGACCGCGCGCAGCCCTCGGAGCGCGTGAAAGGGCTAGTACGGTGTCCAGGTGCATCCTTTTTTTGCTACGCGCTTCTCGACCGTCGTGTTAATATATGACTGGCTCTTCCACATATCCCTATCCCTCGCTACACTGTTGCAAATTCTTGTGTAGTTTGCACCTCAACTGACTCGTTTCAATGCCACTCTGTTTCGTAAATAGCATCTCACGGCAATTTAATTATCCTTGTCCTTGTCTGTATTTTTTAGCCTTCTCTGTGTGTGGCATTAAGAAAAAAATATGTGCAGTAGCTCTGCCGCTCCCTGCGTCCTGCTTGACAATGACTGAGTTGACTCAGAAAAACAAAATGGTTATGCACGTGGACGGATGGACACGTGCTCTGTTTTTGGGAGGGGTGCGACTGCGGGTGATCAATCAACTGGGCCGGCGGGCTGCACCATGCGAAAAAAGGCGAGGCATCGGGCTTTTGTTACATCAACGACACCGTCCTCTGCATCCTCGAGCTCCGGGGCTGTACTATGTCTATGCCCAACACAGCCTGAGTGCGCGGACCGAACGGGTAGGGAACGAGTCGTTCCGCTAAAGAAAGTGATGTCGAGCAAGCCCAAATCGGAGGTTGAGTCCGTATGCTCAGAATGTTATTTGAGACCAGAAACCAAAGCCCGAAGTCGATGATTTCGACGTGAAAAATCGCCAGGCAAATGCTGGAGGCGTCTATTGAGAATCCAAAGCCGTCTAGCATGCTTGAAAGTGGCTTGCATTAAATCTAGTCCGTCAGCGTGCAGGCCCTCTCTCTGGTCTAGTTAATGCACCTGTGGAAACTCAAAAAAAACTTAATTATGAAACATCGAAATAGTCGGTAGTCATGTCGCATGGTGTCAATCCAAGATTTGAACTACTATCATACATGCATCGTCGAACTAGTGAGAATCCAGAGACTCATCCGCGGACCTTCGGATCGATGCACTCCTCCCATCGTGTGCCATGGACAAACCGACCAAAATCCAATTTTGCCGTGCCCTCCCGAGAGATAATGAGTGAATTTTGAGGAAAGTATAGGCCTTTGCGAAGCCATGGCGGGATCCAAAGTAAGAGCTGAGACTCTGAGTTTAATATCCATCCATCTTCAAACCTCGAACCCTCTCCGAACGGTTTGTGCAGAATGTAGTTGGGATTGAGCTATTCATAGATCAGAATTGGGTCAGTGCGGATTCGGAGCAGAAGAAGTGTGTAGTACAAACCTCATAGACACGGATTGTATTGTCCCGAGAGCCAGAGGCAACCCGCCCGCCGTCAGGAGAAAAAGCGACCGAGCAAACCGGTGCACTGTGCCCTTCAAATGGTCCAGCGACACATATCCCGGTTCGCGCATCCCATACGCGCACGGTTTTGTCGTGGGACCCAGATGCGATCAGATTCCCCTTCCGAGAGAAAGTGACGGAGTAGACATCCCTAGTGTGCCCTTGAAGCAGTACAGGGATAGGGGACCCCGTTTGTGCATCCCAAATGCGTACCATTGAGTCCGCTGAACCTGACACGACCCACCTACCGTTGGGTGAGGAAACAACCGAGTTAAGCCTCCCGACGTGCTTCTCGAATGGTCCACTGACAAGTGCACCCGTTTGAGCATCCCATACCTTGATCGTGCGGCTATTGGACCAATTTGCGGACCCTGTCACAATGTGTTCCCGGCCAGATGAGGAAGCGAAAGAGATGTCGTCCAACTCCGAGTCATCAAACCCATCAAGGGAGGGCGCGAGAGAGATGCCGTCCATCTCTTTACTCATACATCGTCCAACAAATGGTCCACCGACAAGAACACCCGTTTGTGTGTTGCGGACCTGGATCATGCCTGTTTCGAAGCATGACACAATGTGTTTCCCGTCAAGAGAGAAGGAGAGGGAATTCACCGGCCCCCTGTGTTCAAATGGGCCAGCAATGAGAGTGCCCGTTTGTGCATCCCAAACACGCACTGTTCTGTCAACTGAGCCAGAAATGATGTGTTCCCCTTCGAGTGAGAAAGCGAGGGAAAGCACACGATCTGTATGTCCCATGAATGGCCCAGCAATGAGGGCACCCGTGTGCGAATCCCATACCCGGATCGTTTTGTCGTCCGACCCGGACACAATGTGTTGCCCGTTTGGCGAGAATACGATGCAATTGATCTTATCACTGTGTCCTGTTTGCCTGGCATCGGAGCCTGGCCCAATCTCCCTGCTATCTTTGGGTGCTACGTGCGCATCCCAGATGCGAACCGTGTGGTCCAGGGAGCCTGACACAATTCGTCCACCATCAGGCGAGAAACAGACGGAAAGGATACCATGGCTATGCCCTTCAAATGGGCTGGCAGCGAGAACACCTGTTTGTGCATCCCAAATGCACACTGTGCTGTCTTTGGAGCCAGAGACAATGTGCTCCCCATCGGGTGAGAAAGCGATGGAAGTCACTTGATGGGTGTGTCCTGTAAATGGCCCAGCAATGAGGCTACCTGTGGATGTATCCCATACCCGGATTGTTTTGTCATAAGACCCTGATACAATCCGGTCCCCGTGAGGGGAGAAATTGACAGATCTGACCTTGTCATGATGCCCCTTGAGCAGAGCGACAATTGCACCAGTTTCTGCATCCCACAC